TGTCTTGTGTAACTTCACTTCCTGCCTCTCTTTTTCCCGCCTCACCTGTGTCTGCCTGGATAGCTTCACCTGTGCCTTGTTAACCTCCCATCACTTGTGTCTTTAGTCTTTATGTTCCCTTGTTTCAGTGCCAGTTGGTTCGGTCAGTTTGATAAATGTTCCAGCCCTTTCCCCATCATCACCAGTGTTTTGAATTATCTATCTTGGTTTTTGTTTTTATTTTGTGGGACTTTGTGGGATTTATTGGTTACACCCTTTGGATTAATTTGCCTTTTGGGCTTATCATTGTCTGACTTTTCTGTAAGCCTTTTTATATTTACACCTTTTGTTGTTAAAGGACCAGTGTGTAGGATTTAGTGGCATCTAGTGGTGTAGCTGCAGATTGCAACTCTTACACACCCTCCATTTCCAAACAGGTAGGAGAACCTATGGTGATGAAACATGCGAAAAAACACCCCTATCTAGAGCCAGTGTTTGGTTTGTGCATTCTGGGCTACTGTAGAACCATAGTGGTTCAACATGGTGGACTAGATAATGGCCGCTCATTCTAATGGAAGTGTATTGCTGACAGAGTAAATTAATGTCCTCTATATTGTATATTGTCTGAAAACTTGTCTGAAAGGAAATGTGTATAATGTATTGAGTATTGAGTATTATATCCATTTAAAGCTGCTTCATGCCAAAACCAAGTATGGTGTCTGAGAACCTCTTACTCAGCTGAATTAAGATCATTTCCCTAAAAACACATAGGCTGAAGGGCTAACTGTGTGAAGAATAACTCCATTCTAACAAGCTGCAACTCCACTGGAAAGTGTACCTGGCAACCAGTCTGAATTGAATAAAAATATTATTTCTATAAGTTGTGTATATTAATAGTTATCATCATTAACACTGAGTTCAGATATGGTACTTAATTAATAATAGTCTATTAATTGAAATGGTGAAAACTGGAGGAGGGCCACTTCCTACTACATTTTCACAGGCAGAGGAACTCACACTGGCGAACAACAGAGGAATGGAGTGGGGCAGGGGTAAGTCAGTTCTGACCATGGTGGCAGCTGAATGTCCACCCTTTATATAACGGGTAGCATGCCACTCATTTGACTCTCAGATAGAGTTTGGGCATTGGCAGCTGGCATTGTACTCTTCCTTTTTAATAGTGGCAATGTTATGGAGCACCACACAGGCTGCCACCACCTCACATGCCCACTCTGGGAACATCCACTAGCATTGCAAGCATGCAAAAAAAATGGTCTGATTTAATTAAATTTTATTTTATTTGTATAGCGCCAATTCATAACAGAAGGACACTTTTAAAATAGAGCAGGTCTAGACCGTACTCCTTATAAAATTATTTACAGAGACCAAACAGTTCCCACCAACATCAAACATTTTAACAAAATACAATTCAAAATTTTGAAACATGCCAATAATTTCACAGCACAATGATGGTCATTAGTTTTTGCCTACAGTGGCTTTTGAATTGTATATCATAGGCATCAAACATAACTTTATTCTCCTTCATTTTTTAACATTAATGTAAAACTGAGGCAGATTCTTGAATAAGCAGTCCACAAACTAATCAACCAAAAATCTTCTTGATCTATATATGTCCTCACCACAGCGTGGGTTGTCATGGTGACCAGAAGACAAGGGAGGCTCTCCAGGTAAGGGAGGTTTCCGTTTGGAGAAAGTGATGATCCGATTGATTTTCTTCCCTGCTGCTCGGCTCATCGACCCCGTCAGCTCTGAAAACGCTCCGCGCTTCCCCCTGTCTGAAATCAAACGTACCCCGGTCAGACCGTGCTGGGGCTGACAGTGTTGAGCACTTAATATACAGTATCTGGGAGTGGAACCTGACATGATCTACAACCAATAAAAAGACATATTGTGGCCTTATGACTGTAATGTTACATTAGCAGAGTCAACAATACTTTCTATTTAAAAAAACACAATTTCAGCAATTACACACAAAAAAAGCATAAGGACAACTGGAATATAATAAAAAAAGTTTCAAGTGAGAGATATTTGTGTGAAAACTCCTCTAGGAACAATAAAAACATATTGTATTTAATTTCAGAGAAGTCCTTTATTTATTCAACCTATCCCTAGAATGTGCTTGCGTGTTCATAGTGCATGTACCAGGTGCTACAGCTCTCTGTCCTCCCTACTTCCTATGATGTCAGAGGGAGACAATCGCAGGAAGAGGGCAGGAAGGATGTCATATCTGTTCGTGCCTCACTTCCTGTCTCTCCCTCTCTCTCATGTCTCTTTAGGTTCAGAGCCGCCCGGTCAGTAAACGGGTTGTAAAAACACTCAAACAACATGACTGTGTTTGACCTATATTCTGACCCAACATCATGGATCCCCTGGTTTATCCTTCCTGATTTTGTGGATAGATAAACAACAACATTGCATGTGCTTTTGATCAGACTCCTAAAAGAATAGAATGTATGTATGTGCCTGCGTGTGTACTTGTACATGAGTTCAAGACCCTGAGAGTGACGACATTTTGGAAAGCGAGGACATTTTAGTTTTTCGCCTCCTCTTGGAGATGAAGACTAAAATGGAGACTTGGTTTAAGGGTTAGGGTTAGAGTTCAGGGGCCACTAATACTTAAGTTTTGCAGATTAATAATGTATCTTTAACATTGTATATTTATCAAAAAAAATTCAACATCACCACAAGCTACAGCTTAAAAAAACAACCATCAACACTTGAATTAACACTTAATGATGAATTTGGTGCTGTTACATAAATATATCCAATCAAACAAAGGCCATTATTTCTTGGACTTGACTGTTGTGTTACAGTAGGAGATGTGTATTTGGGTTCCAGTTGGAAAAAACTTTGTTTAAATTTCCAAAGAATGTTTGTAAGATAAGATAAGATTTATTTATTGAACAGTCCTAAAGCACAGCCCCAGTGTCTCTTCAGGATGCTACTTCTAGAGACATCATGGGCAAATCTTTAAATATGTATCATAATTAAGTAATTAATTGTCTAATTTGTATAAAATACACCTTACATCAGTCGCAAGAAATTATACACACAGACACAAATCTAATGTTAAATCTCACTATGACTGTATGTTGTATGCTATAAATTGTATGCTGATACTGTATGTAACTGTTCCCCCTGCTTGTTTCACTGAAACAACATTGAAAAGGAGTCAAAAAATTGCCAGCTTATGAAGGTAACCCTACTCAGAGAGTCAGTGGTATCCCGTCCTGGTCCCTGTACAGTGGACTGACTGTCTGCAGTTGGCCCGCTGTCTGAGTCTGATGCCTGCCGGTCACACTGCAGCACCTAGCAAAGATAAAGAATAATGTTTTATTACTTCTCTTTCCTTGTTGAAGAACAGTAGAGCAATGTTTCACGTTAACATATATATCTATTCTGTTTTAACAAATCCTTCAGTCCTTCAGTCCAACTGAGAAAAATCATGTAAACAAAAATGACACAGAAGTTTCTTAAAATATGATTTACTGACTTTGTATTTTAAAAACAATTCTACCGACATGGGGTGTAACTGCCAAGTCACCATGCATTCAGCTCAGAGGCTCTCCAGCTGTGTGCCAAAACTTTGTTGAGGTTGTAAAGCTCTTTGAAAACTGGCCAGCTCAGCAACCACAATAATGTCACCTCACTCACTGCTTTTAACTAAAAGCCAGAGGAACAGTTGTGTCATACGTGGGCTGAAAGAGTGAAGTCAGTGTCAGAAATTTAAATATAAAACTTAAAGTATAGATTCAGAAAGAAATACACCTCAATAAATGAAAAATACATATTACAGTAAAGTGAAACTCAGAGATAGTGAGAGGCAACTGTTAAACTGGCACAGGAAGCCCTCATTTAGACAGAAAATTCAAGAAAAATGGCTGCTTTAAGTGCAAATCTTGTAACATGCACATGCAAAAACGCAAAAGAAATACTGCAGATAACCCAAAACACCCCCCTACACACACACACCTTATCAAGTTCCAGTTTCCTTTGTATAATGGGAGAAGTGGATCCTTCCAGTCCTTCAGTGTTGCTACATTGGCTGCCAACATTTTGCACCACCTTGTTCCAAAAAAATGAAAATCTTGTGTTTTACCCTCAGCCATATTCACCCATGTCTTCCTCCATTCTTGTCTGTCTCATCACCAGCCCTCTGATAGAGTGAATGAAGGTACCTTGAGCCATCTCTGGGCCTGCTCTTTACTCTGAACAGCCAAGACTAGAGCTTCGCCTCCAGGCAACGAGAAGCGCAGCTCGTGTCTCTTTTTCCGGCCTTCCTTTGGAACATAGATGACGTTGCACAAATTCAGCGGGAGCTCTGTGTGCGGAGTACTCTCTTTGATGCTCTTATAGCACTGTAAAAGAGAGATAGAGATCGTCATCGTCATCATTTTATACTTGTACCTTTAAAGTTAATGCAGAAATCTAACTGTGCTTTCTGACAGTGTATTGTAACTTATAATGCTCTTGAATCTAAATTAGTTTACTCTTGTTGAGACGAAAAGTTACTGTGTATAATTATAATGTTTGATAAATTATCAGTGCAGTGTTTATTATGTAATTATAACCAATTTTATTATTATTATATACATTTTTAATTAGAAAATAATTATTCTTCATCCAATTCATTCTTTTTTTTCCCTTTTTCGGTTCTGTTTAACTATGTTTTACACTGTTTTGCATTTAAGTTGTTGACACCTGTGACTGATGATCACTTTATTGTTTTCTGAAGATGGATAACTGGTTACCAGGGTTTACAGCCAATGTCTTTCTTAAATTGATATTATTTTGCAATATGCATGTATACAGTGAGAGGTTTCAGCCTAAAGAAGATACAGAAAGATAAACAGAAATGTTGTTATAGATAAAAAAATGTGAAGAACAGTTTTTTTTTTGCCACGATGTCTCTTGTTTGGTCCAGCACCAGTTTTTTGAATGTGGGAACTTTTCTACAACATTAAGCCCAAAAAAAGACCGGATACACATTAGATCATTTGGTTTGAAAGGTTAAATAAACACACATGAACAGCTCTATTTACCTGCAGTTTATTGTCTCGGACAACGACTAGCTGTTTAGCCCACTGGCCGAAGCGTTTCTTTCGCAGCAGGAAGGCACAGATGCGGCAATCTCTAACTGGTCCTTCTGGGTTCTCCTCAGCCGTCCATCTCTGCGGTTGGTCCCGTCCTTTGGCCTCTTCTTCCTCTTCTTCGTAAGACTCGTAGGAGCTGCTCAGAGCATCTGAGTCATTGTCTGAGGACCAAAAATAATAGAAACGATTAATTTGTGTATTCCACATGCTGCAGAGCATGCCTCTGTTAACAATTGTAAATGTGAATTGGTGGAAAGAGAGGGTAGACTCACAGGAGTTTTTAGGTGGTCCATTAATTCTGGTAGTGGGGTAGTTATTGTCTGCATCTTCATAGTAAGCATCCTCCACAGAGTTCCTTGAAGCTACAGAAGAAAAGTGGAAGAGTCGAGATGAGATTAAAAAAAAACATAGTAATTGAGTTGGCTACAATTATTCTTGGGTGTGCAAATCTGTATCTTTGAGTTTGTATACAGAACTGTTCATATTGGTGGTGAAGTACTGAGGGGTTGATCCAGGATCTAGAGGAACAGCCTCTTCATAGTAGTCATCTGGAAGGGGCGTGGTTGGCAGAGGAGGGGGTGTATCAGTCGGTGTCTGCGGTGAAAGATGAACCACAGTTTTAGCACAAGAAAGGCAGATGGACTGACTGGTAGATACTGTAGACGACTTACAGATTTATTAGGATGAGTCTTCTCCTCTTCCTCTTTGTGCTCCTTCTGCTCCACTGGAGATGCACTGAGCATGTGCAAATCACAGTCTGTTGGAAGAACAGAGGATTCATGTTATTATAAATATAACAAATAGTTCATTTTATTATACATTTTGTAGATGATGAGGTATGATGATTGGAAATATACAATAATGATGGTTTGGTTTGAAGGTGCTTTGAAGGTCTACTCACCAAAATCCTCAAATAGAGACTCTACAAAACTGGTGCCGTTGCCATAGAGACAGCTGTTCATGTAGACGTCTGATCCATTGACTGTGGAAAAGATAAATTAAGGGTTAGAAATAGGATCAAAGTCAGGGTTAGGATTGTGGTCTATGCTAAGGTCAGGAGAGTCAGGATTACCAGTGTGTGCGGAGACGCAGCAAACAGGCTACTAAGTATCACCTAACCTAGAAAATCTGGCTTTTTAGACAAATAAATTGTATGGAAAGCTTAGTCAGACAGCAGATTGGGGCTTGTAAATCATTGTACCAGAAGAACAAAGATAAATGATGTCTTAAAATGTGTGTGAAAGTTTGCCAAGCCTCCCAGACTTTCTGGAAGCGTTTTTGAATCAGTGTGAGAAATAAATCCCCAGAGCATTTGGCTGTTAAAAGCTGAACTGATGTGGAATATGCTAAGGTGCTGTGTAAAACCCTGAAGAGTAAGGCAGGGCAACCTGGGTCCATTCAGACCATTATGAGTATGTGTTACTATCAGGATGTTTTGCTTTTCTCCTTTCTTTGACCTGCTCTCATCATCCTCTTTAAACTTTACATTTCATTATCCTCTTACCTCAATCCTTTTATCCTCTCTGACATCCTGTATTCTCCCAGATAAACAAGGATCTACTGTAAAGGCCTCAGTTAGATTTGACAATACAGAATATGGTTGGCTCATGACAGGAAGGTCGTCCCATTGCATAAAAATGAGTAAGAAAGACATTCTCTGTCCCTGTCTAAATAAACCATGTATTAGTGACCTTGAACAAATTGCTTAACTCAGAAAGGCTTCGGCTGAACTGCTGCATGTGTCAAACTGAATTAATGTGAGGCAGGATGCAGCTAAAAAACCGCAAGCATGCTCAGTCAAATTCCATTAGATAAACTAGAGGGGCACTCAGAGAGCGTAGACCCTTGCCAAGGCCAATAGTCCAGTCTGCATGCGCAACCTCTGTGTATGTCTGTATTACACATTATTGACCTATGATGATCATTTGTGTATCATCGGTGTGACTCGGATCTGCTCCAAAATAAAACGGGTCATTCCTCGGCTCATGCAACACACTTCCACCAAGTCTCGTGAAAATTTGGCCAGTAGTTTTTCTGCTGACAAAATGGCACCAAAAGACATAAACTCCTGGAGTTTAATAAAGTCACAAATCTTATGTTAATGCTATGTTGCTCTAATTGTACCTCATTTAATACTCTAACATACATTTCTGTTAGACTTTAAAACATTTTTTGTGTTTTGCTCTTGTTAAAGGACACAATTTATCTTTGCTGTGTCACACAAGTACAAAAATACCAGTGTTATGCATCAAAAAGAGATGTCCTGAGATAACTTCTGTTATGAATTGGCGCTATACAAATAAAATTGAATTGAATTGAAAAACAAATATTAGCATTGTGCAATTCAGAACATTTAAAGGAGTCTGTCACATCACTGCACGTACTGATACTAATAAGGTAAGAAATACAGACCATAGAGGTTAAATATACTGCCCCCTCCATCTGAGACTTAATTATGTACCTGACAGCTGCAGCGAGTCCAGGATGTTACGTATCGACGCCATCTTGTCAGCAGTGGCAGGACTGACCGTCTCACGGTCCAGCATCTTCAGCAGAGAGCCTAGCTCGTTTACAAGTCGTTCCATTACCACTAAAAAACACAAAAATACACACAACACATTATTTGGGTTTGTAGAAGAACAGTAAAAAATCTTTGGCACCATCATGGGAAATCCCATACATCAGGCTCATAACATGGCTGAAATGCTGATGGTATTACACCAAGTGCATCAGATATCAATTTAACACACACGTGCAAGGCCATACAGGCAAGTGCGAGCAAAACTGGCAGTTCACGAGAGGCATGAAGACAGTTTGGAACTCAGCTTACCGCCTGTTGCAACAGCTGACAGGGAGGAGATATTTAACATCCTAACATCTCGCCCTATTCATTTTGTCCGCCTCAGAGTCAGCCTAATTGTGTATTGTGATGTTTTCTGTCTGTTCCCTTCTCCCTGCTGTCCTACATTCAGTTCACGTTCAACACTGACATCCTGTGTATCTATGTGTGTATCTGTGTGTGTGTGTGTGTGTGTGTGCATGCGCTTTGTTGACCCTGACATTGTTCCAAAAGTTCTGCCACACTCTCACACATCCTGCCGACAAAGAGAGGAGAAGGAGGAGGAGGAGGGGGAAGAGAGTCAGAGAAAAGGAGGTGAAGCGGAGGGGGCAGGAGGCTTCCTTCCCTAAAGGAAATGGAGCCAAAATAAAGAAGAAAATCTGTAGTTCCACTAGAGATGGAATAGGATATGGTTACCACACTGTCTGTAGCGCTGAGTTAGCTCATTCAGTTGATCATTCATTCATGAGAGGTTTTTTATTTTTGGGGGGCTTTTATTTTCTTTAATCGACAGTGACAGCTGAAGAGAGAAAGGAAAAGGGGAGTGAGAGAGGGAGGGAGGGGATAACACACAGCGGAGGGACACAGGTCGGACTCAAACCGATGGCCGCTGCAGCAAGGTCTGAGCGTTGGTACGTGGGTCACCAGCTCTACCAGGTGAGCTCTGAGGGGTTTGACATGAAGGACAACAGTTTGAGTCTTAAGTAGACATCTTTTCTCCACTTCTGTGTAAACAGCAGACCTCTAATTAAATATTGGCCCATAATTGATATGATTAAATATTATTCCTGCCATTAAACAGACGGAGTGGATCATTCTTTAAGACGCTTACCCTTAAAATAAGTGAATTTCAGTTTGGGTTTCAGTGGAAAGTTTTATCGCCCCATGATGGTCCACATGCTCTTTAAGTGTTCTTTTTTCCACACTGCCAAGAAAAACATTTTACGGAAACATTAAATCTCAAAAAGTCATTTTTTTGCATTCAAATTGTTCAATTTACAATGTTATTTCACCCAGAAGTTGACAGGAAGTTCAAGGACACTTCAACGGAGACGCTGAACCTCGACATGTGACATAAAAATTAGGTGTTTTTCTTTAAGCCACTGTGCTGTCCAATGAGAACGTAATCTACCTTCTTCATCTTCTCTAGGAATAATTTGACTTCTCAAATGTATCATTTGAATAAACTCTGAGAGCTATATACCAAGTAGCTTGTTTCATTTCATTTTTATTAAGGAATAATTATTTTAATGTGCTATAGCTAGAACAACCACTTCCTCTGTGGTGACTACAGTCAGATGTTAAAATTAATTAAAAAAAACATTAATATAGAAGCTTTTGGACGAAATAGATTGCAATTATCCATTTGAAGGAACTGGTTCAAGGGTTAAGTTAAAATAAGATCAAAACAATCTCTCTTTCTCTCACACAGAGCGCGGACAGAGAGAGTGAGAGAAAAGCCCTCACTCTCCCATAGCCTCTTCCGCCAACCCCCCCCCCTCCCACTCTGACAATACTCTATTGTCTCCACGAGGGCCAAAATTAGACGACCACAATGCTCAGCAAAAGACCAGAGCAAACAATACAATGTCAGAAACTCCAACAAAAAACAAAACAGGAACTAACACACACACACGGTCTGAGAGGGGCGTGGTGCAACACAGCTGCATCGTCTCGATCCATGGGCATTCAGGGTTAAAGGATATATCTCTAGCAGCTGTGTGTGTGTGTGTGTGTGTGTGTAGTATTTCTCGACCAGCAGCTGTGGTTTCCTGTCTTAGTTGTCGACAGAAGCCTCCACTCCTTCCTGATCTCGACTCTCTCCTCCATCCTACTGCGAGTCTCACCTCCTCTTTCTCTCTCTCCTCCACCCACTTTCCCCTCTCTCTCTTTTTCCATTTTCTCTCCATCCTGCTGTTTCTCCTTTTGTCCCAACATCCTCCGTCATCCTAAACTCTCCCTCCTTCTCAGTTCACACGTTTGCTTCCAGGCTTTTGTTTTTTTTGTAACCTCGTCAGTTCATTCACCATCTACTGAACAAGCGGTTAAAAAGTTTCCCAGTTGATCGTTAAATTAAAGTTCTATATTTGTACTTCACTTCTTTAGGAACAGGATTCAATGTAATCAACCTCAGTGTAAACAAAGCCAACTGTGGGCTGATGGAGTTTCAGACTGGGCCTTTGGTCTATTTTCTGTTTCTTAAAGTCTAACTTTACACAGTCAAGGCCGTCCATTCATTTAGCTGTATCTCCCTCTCTCTCTCTGTCACTTTCTCTCTCTCCCTGTCTCATTCTCTCGGGGGGGACCAGAGGGTTCAGAGGCTGAGAATCAGCTGTTCTGGAGGCTTGTGGTCTGTCTCACCCACAGAGGGATCTTTGTAACCACCCATTCCCCACAAACACATACACACACACGGCACAGATTTCCTCTTTGAATGTTTTCGCCTATGGACATTCACTTAACTCACAGGGAGCACACATACACTATTAATTTGTATCTTAAAACAGAGACATCATCCTATACAGAGCAAACATACAGTCACAAGAGTACTTTGGAAAATGTGTGTGTATGTGGTTTTACATACATTTTTGGTGTGTTCCCGCAGACAGGCTTCCTGAAGAAGGTCAGTCATGAGACCTGAGCCATGCGACTCTCATTTGAACTGATTTGGCATGTTTGGTTGCAGCTCAGAACAAAACAACTACTACTCACTGCTGCTGCTGTTTATCTCACCACATAATGCTTATGGGCGGCAGGGTGACAGAGAAAAGATACTTTTCTCCTCCTGACCTGAGGCTTTCACTCCCATCCATTACACATCTAACCTATCAATCACACCACTATAAGGTTAACCTCCTCCCTGACTTGCCTCTCCCATCTTAACTATCCTTCCTATGTTTTTCTTTTGCTTTCCCAATACTTCAGGACTAGGAAGAAATATTTCAGTGTACTGAATTGAATCGCTTGTTGTCTCCTGAGGCGCGTAATTATCTGTAATAGGAACATCCAAATCTTATGTGACAAAAACATATGCTTTTCATGTCATGAAAATGTCAAGTGTATGAAGCTATTTTACACTACGGCAGTGGTCCTCTTCCTGCCTCCCCCACACTCCCAGAGGCTGAGGTCCCTCCAGATCCCACATTCTCCCCTCCACTCCTTTATTTCTCTCCCTCCCTCCTCCCTGATCCTTTCCTTTTAACTCCTTTCCCTCGTCTGCCTCCCGCGTCCCTTTTCCAGACACCCATCCTCTTCAGACAGAGGTCAGAGTTCAAGTCTTGGCGGCCCCCTCTGAGACAAAAGTCTACTTCAGAAAGATTCAGCATCCTGTAATTCATATTTCGGTGACAACAGTAGATGGTGTCACTGCTCGCCTGGGGTTAGCATTCAGTCAGACACTTGAAAAAGTTCCCCCCAGAACCAAGCTGGCAAGATCTTTAAAAAGAAACAGCTGGGGGAAAATTGCCTCTTTCTCACATTCTTTCAGTATCTTATCACTTTCCTCAGATAGTAAATTGTGAGAAGACACATGAAAACAGAGGAGCATGACACTGGCACAGACACTGTTGCACAGCATGAGTTTAATTTAAAACCCAGACTGCTGTGCTGAGGTTTCCCCAGGTAAGGACACTTTCAGCCACTATAGTGACCATGTGCCACATGTCTTGATTAATTCGCTTGACAAAGAAGATTTTGATGCATACTCCCATGGAAAACAATCCCCTTTCTTCCAGTTGAAGGGGAAGCTCTCTTATTAACATGTTGTATAGCGTTTGTTTAATTCATACCAAAAAAATGATAAAAATGACAAATTGTGTTAATTAGAGAGCCAGGCCAGTTGTATTTCTGTTTGCAGTCTTTGTGCTAAGCTAAGATAACTGGCAGCTGGTGGAAGCTTCATACTGTATTTAGTGTAGAGACATGAGTGGAATCAATCTTGTCATCTAATTCCCCCCAAAAAAGCGAAAAAGCATATTTCCCAAAATATCAAACTTTTCCTTTAAAGCTCTCTAATTAACACATTGTATATTATTTGTTTATTCCATAAAAGTTACTGTGCTAAGCTAAGTTAGCTGGCTGCTGGCGGTAGCTTCATATTTACTGTACAGACATGTGAGTGTGAGAATCTTCTTATCTAACACTCAGGAAGAAAGAGAATACACCTATTTCTCAAAATATGTCTAATAACTTTTCCTTTGTTTTAGACAAAACCATCAAATCAAACAGCACCAAGTCATGACAAAAAGTTGCTCCCAAACTCTATGTAACTTTTAGACAGATTAAGGGAATACTGACATTTGAGAAATTACATTTCTTGCCAGAGTTAGATTAAAAGACTGACACTACTCTGTGCTGCAAATCTAAAGCTGGAAGCAGTTAGCTTAGCTTAGCATAAAGACAAGACAAATCACACTTTGTTACACTGTCATCTGACCCAAACACTATTATTGTACAGTTGTTCTTTTGTGACAGTGTTTCCCAGAAGTGATATGGTGGTGATGATGATGATAATATAAACCTCAGTTGGACAAAACATGATCCAGTGTTTTTCCTGTTTGGTGTTATCACCACATCAGCTTAGTTTCCACCTACTCCAAACCAACATGGATGACACGCACAGACCTGTTGCTTTTACCAGCTGGCAGAAACCAAAACAGTATAAACAGGGTTCACAGGGTCAAAGGAATTTCCTTAAATATCCCTTCAGTAATCAATTAAGTATAGAGAGACCATAGAGTTCTGGTCTTTCTGAAGAGAATGGAAGAAGGGGGCTGGGTGGAGGATCGCGAGGAGAGAAGGAGGAAAAGGGAAAAGGAAACGTAAGAGAACCATGGTCGAGGTCAAGGCTTGTGACTGTTGTTAAACAGATAACTCATGTGTCAGGATGTGGGTGTCCGAATGCAATGAATGATTGTTGTAGTATTGTCCTCCTTGGTATGCATGTAGCGTAAGAGAGGATAAATCCATTGTTCAGAATTCAGCTGAAGATTTTATGAAAACTTTGCCCCTGCAGTTCTAACTCTTAAACCATTTTAAACTTCGATTTCTACAAATTTCTCCCATCTGTTGCAGCAGTTGCGTTATTGGCCCAGAACACCATTATCAATTACTCCAGTTTTTTTTCCACAGTGAGAATATTTTCTTCTCAAGTGCACATTTACACAAGTGTTTGGCCGCATAACACTTCAGTTCGACTGTATAAGCTGCTTGTGCTTCATAGGCATTTTTCATGGAACGCATATTGTCATGTGACATTAAGTATGGGTGTAAATAATTCATTTAATGATGGTTTCAGGGTCCTGGTATTGTGCATTATGGCTCACTGTCACAATGCCATGCCTTACTGGGACACTTGAATGGAACAGAGCTATTGCTAATGCTATTAGTAACACTTTTATTACTGTGACAAATCAAAATGTCTGCTGTGTAAAAAGCCTTAACAAAGTGACATTGGTAGCTGTAATGGTGAACTCAGTGTGGTCATTTAGTACTCAGCACAAAAATCATAATTTATATAATTATCATCAGCATCATCTCATGATAATTATGATCTGTATATGAGCTGACCCACTCATGTTAATTAAAATAGTTTGGAGGCTGATTATGGGGCTGCATTTGTGCTCAGGCTTGAGCGCTGGATTTGATTTCATTTTGTTTCTAAAATTAGGATGACCTATTCCTTTTGCCTCCAGGTATCCTTCTATATAAGGGACATTCTTGTGTAAACTCATGCCTAAATAATGGGCCTATTAACCTTATTGTAGGCACCAAAATGAGGTTCTTTAATGAAGCATGAGTAAACGCTTTTCCTCTAAACTGATTTTTTTTTTTTTACCCATAATAGTCATTGTCTCCCTTAACACAGCCACTTGTGATCCTCGTCTGACAGATTTTTTTAATTGAGGCCACAGCTTCATCACCTGGTGCCACATAATGCAGCTTCCTGTGTGCAGCCCAGTGGCCTGAAGGCTTTGAAACAGAGCAGCCATTCAGCCGCTGCCGCTGTCGCTGCAGCTTCCAGCGGCGCTGCTTCCAACGGGGCACTTCTCCGTTGGTATCCGATTGCATCACTTTACCTGAGAGAGGACCCCTCCTCCTCCTCCTCCTCCTCCTCCTCCGTCCACTCACACAGCGCACCAACCGGCGTGTCCGTGTATGACATCACTCGCGAGGCGCACCGGGGGCATAGCCAGGTAAACTATGTGAGGGTCTTAAAGGTTGTTTTTTTTTTTAAGAAAACCCCCCCAAAAAATAATAAAACTGTATCTAATCTCTGTTGTTTTACATGTTTTATAATCAGTCAGGTGACTTTTAAGTGACTAGTGGTGATTGATTATATTTTAGTAGACTATATGTTCCCTGTTTGTTAATATGTGCCCATATTAATTTATCTCCTTATACGTAAATATACATGTATTCCTTTAGATGGAGGCTTCCTCTCAAAGTTACAACTGTACAGTTTGAATGTGAGTATAAAGAGAGACTGTTACTCACCACTTTGGCGCTTGGAGTCCATGTCCGTTTTGATATATCTATATATATTTTTTTTTTATTTCCAGTAATAATCCCTTAGTTGTTTCATTTAAAAGCGACGGTTATTCACATGTGCTCGCCACAGACAGCGGAGCTCTGTCAGCCTCAGTGCGGCCGGCAGAGTGAGTCAGAGTGCCCGCTACAGTTTATAGTTTGACTCGGCAGCCGCGGGTTCATCATCCAGAGCTCCACCGGGTCCTAGCGCCTGTCACTACAACTGTATTAACATTTCAATGCTCTGAGTGTACAGAGACACATGTTGAGGCCACACTGTCTAATCTCTAAATCCTCAGTATGTTGTTCTTTAGTGGTTTTCATTGTGTAACTGACAGTTTACATTTGAGATACTTTACTTGGTTATGTCCATGTCATGCTGCTTTATACTGGTATTTCACTACTTTATAGATTAATGATAAAAAAATACTATGTACTATTAGTATTAATAATAATAAGTGAGTAATATTAATTAAATTACATTATACCAATATATATGACACTTATGGGGGCCATTTTCTGCATTGAGTTTACTTACTTTTGATGCTTTAGGTACTTTTTTTTATTTTACTAACATTTTAAATGTAGGACTTTTACTGTAATGGAGTGTTTTCACATTGTGTTATTGATACTTTGAAGTAAAGTATCTGAAAACTACTTCCACCACTGATACTGCCTACCAAAATTATGGGTATACCAGTGGTTTTCAGCTGGGGGTTGCAAGCTGATTAACAGGACAAAACCCATAAAAAACAACATCTGTAACATTTCTTTTATACAAAATTATGTTGTTTTACTTTTCTTCATTTTTCCCCCCATTTTCCAAGTGAAGTAGTAAAACCCCCTCAGGTCTTAAAAAAAGATCATCATTAAACTGGTCACAGTTAGACATTGTACTGCTTAATGGTCTCATGCACCAAAAAGGTTGAAAACAACTGCTCATTAATGTTATGATTATATATATTTATGTGTAGCAATGTTGATCTGCCAAGTCCTTGATATCCCCCAACTTCCTCAGAATAATTCCTTGATTTTCCATGATTATAATGAAGCTCTGAAAATCTTACCTGTACTACTGTAGTTCTGCGCTAGCATGGGGGGTGGTAAAGGTTAAAGGTACCACAAAAATCCTGTTCACCATCCCAACCATCATCATGTACATTCAATGTTTATACACAATAACAATAACCAGGAGAATAGACAATAAAATTTTGACGCTTGAATTACTTATTCATTGTTTTAGTGACAGACATGGGTTTGCAAATTATAAATGTTCCTCTATAAATCAACACCTGTAAACACCTCATGGTTTCAGTTCCTGCGATATTATTCCATCTTTTACTTTCAATTACAACATTTTTGAAACAAACTCTTTCCAAATCCAAATCCAACACTTTCTGTTCCTATTAAAAAAATTCAGCTCAGTTTCTATCACACCTGTTTTATTCCAAACACAAATCCTTTCTTAACACGTTAACACTTAACTTTCGTGACAGGCATTAACTCTTCAGTAAACTGTCTTTGTGAGAACTTCCTTTCCTTTGCTTCATTTCTTATTTATCCCTACATACAATCCTTTCTTGTTACTTCCTCCATTATCCATCAGTCTTTCCGTCACACGTTCCTATTTCCTTCCTTCACTTAAGAATAGTTTTCTCTTTATTCAGAGTTTCTGAATAACCATCCATTGAGATCCTCTATTAGTCACTTACTTTAATTACACACACAAACTCCACAAACATGATTCAGTCTGGTTTAATTAATCCAGCGGCTAAAATTCTGAGCTGTGTCACAAGTGCAGCTGCAGGTATGAATCAACAAAAAACCTTGGACCTCATTAAATAAAACAAGTGAAACACAGAAATCTTAAAGTGTGTGTAGTAATAAAACCTGATTACTAAACTCAGCTAATATCTCTGAGCACAGGGCCATGACACACTTCATTCACATTAAACCTCACAACCACGTCATATTTCAAAAAAACACTTCAGCGAACTGTCTGCTCAGAACTAATATGGCTTCAGAAAAACTTACATCAAAATCAAAACACATGCCAGTATTAAAAAAGAAGAAGAAAACCTTTGGTTTTCAGTGTTAGCGCTTTATAAAAACTCCACTTGTGTATCACGTTCAATAATCCTAATGTCGAGAATCACACCATTGTCATCCATCTGAGTCGCTGAGGATAGAGAAAACTGGATCCTTTTTGCCTGCAGCGACATGCCAGTCTGTCTTCCTATTTGCAGTCTCCCTCATGTTTGGCATGAATGCAAGTTTGGCTCAGGGTGGCAGACCCTCAGAAGTATTTCAGCTTACAGTCTACTGGGTCATATGTATCAGCCTGCCACCCTTGTGCTCCTGTTAACACACTGCCATCTGCTGGTAGGCAAGAGACCAGCAGCCAACCTCTCCCTCTACTAATGAACTTTCTGTTTGTTGTAGCCTGAGTGTGGCTCATCTGCTGCCTCTCAAAGTCTTCCTCCTCTACTTCAAGTTCTGTTTCCTCTCATTCCAGTTTTTTCCCTTGTGGGCAGTTGGCTGACTTCATTTTTATTGCTTAAGAAGTCCAAGTACACACTGTTTAAAGCATGCCAAGATTTGTAGGCCAACAGTTCTCCGCTCCTGCCACCTCAAACGAAGAGAGACTTTTATTTCAGCCAGTAATTCGTCCACTGTGGGACAGTGCCAGTCTAGGGTCAGATCCGAGGTCTTTCTGGAGGTTACTCCTTAGAGCACACTGTTGGCGGTGGACCTGCGTTCGGTTAGACATTTCTGGCAACTTAATTTTCTCAGAAGAGTCGGACCTGTTTCTTCAGTTCGTTCTTCTTCCACTGGGCAAGATGATCAAAGGCAGACATGGACATGCCAAAGACTCTGTAGAACTCCTCTGGTGAGAGGTGACGCTGGGAGGAGAGAGGAGATGGAAAGTCAGTGAATGATAACTACTTGTTTATAAAGTTGCTTAAAATAGCTTCCAAAGAATCCAAATCCCTGTTTCTCTCAGAAATGTAAACATTTTAGCCATTTTACTGCATTGTCAGTAAAATTTTGTGTAGACATTTGTGGTCCGTGCGTAATGACTTTGGAAATTCCCTTCCCAACTTGTGTGTGTTTTTTAGTGAAAAGCCATGACAACTGTTGAATTGATTGCCTCCCATTGAGGATGAATTGTAATAACTTTGGTGATATCGTAACTTTTAATTTTCCACCATTATTATGTCATAATGTCAATTTGTCCTGCTATACTTTGTTTTATAAGCAAATACCAAACTAATGTCAATGTCATTAGTGTGTTTAGTGCTAATTAGCAAATGTTAGTTAACACCATAAAAAAGATGGTGAACATGGTTGACATTACATCAGCATATTAGGATTGTCACATTGTGAGCATGTTAGCTCATAGCACCGCTGTGCAAGGCAGTCAGCATGGCTTTACTCTTAATCTTATGTCACATTCAGCTCCTCGTGTGTTTAATTTGAATAGTTTTATTGCCCTGCTAACACTGAGTCTGTCATTCTGTCAAACTATGGCCCACAGCAAAATATCTTGACAGCTTTACTGGCCAGATTACCACTAAAGCTCTTTGAATGGTAAAAACACCAATACACTTTTCACTGTATCTAATACGTTTGTAGTAATTTACCTCCAATCTAGCTCGGTCCACATCACTCGGAAGACGCTGCTGCCCTCTGACTGACACAATGAGGGCTTCGTATGGGTAAATCTAACACACACACACACACACACACACACACAGAGAGAAACAAAGAGGTGTTGTTTCAATATTATTTACAACTGCCATTCCTACTATTGTTTTTGCACCAAAATGCACCACAGAAGATTTGGCCAACACATGAATTAAATTTCAAACAATGTTCTTGCTTAATGTTGTTTATAAACTGATTCAAAAATTCTAAAACAGCTTAGATTTGAACGTTTGTTTCAGCACCACGAGAACAGGCAGATGGATTATCTTTCTCTGTCACCCTCTCGTGGCCGAACGCAGCATTGGCAACAATGACAGAGGCTAAAGAAAGTCAGTAAATTTGATGATGTCTCTCTTTTTCATTGTTGAAGTATCCCACAGAGGAAGAGATGACATGGTTGGTGTTTTTCCCTTTCTTCTTAATAAAGTGGTGTAATTGGAAAAATCTGTTTATTCTTTTCTTTTCTACCTGAAAGTGAATCGAAGGAATGAAAAAAGAGTTTGTCTTAGAATTGTTCCCAACTCTCTAACTCTCCAACAATCATTCAAAATGACAAAAAATTAATGTTTGAATCTATTTTCTAGTTCATAAATTAGAGTTGCTGGACTGACACAAACCTCTCCCATTATTCTTAAAGGGATATTTTCAGAGTTGCACAATTTCACAAAAATGTTAAGAAGTGCTACAAACACTATTCCTTAATGATTTCCCCTCATTGTACATACACATAATGTGGCACCAAAACAGTGGTGAATTACATGAAATATGTACGAGAAGGAAGAATAATGAGTCATTATGATAGATATAGTCGCTCGAGCTTTGGCCAGATGCGCTGATTGCTATATAAGGTACACCTGACCTGTGACGAGGTGTTTAGTTGTTTGTATTTCTTTATGTTGTTTTAAAGGCGTCTCTCTGTGGTTGTTCTGGGTCAGTGTTGTTTTGCCCTGTAGGCCTGAGTAAGGGTGGCACGTAACAAACCACAGGTACGATTTGTCTTGTCATGAAAGATTGATGGCTCTCACTCATCACACAAATCCTCTGTGCCATTACTCTTTGCTTTTGTTTGTTTGTTTTACTTTGCTGTCAATAAAATGAGTCAGTCAGCTTCACAAAATTTCACTGAGTCAAGTGGGTGTTACTGAGTGATATTAATACACCATTCAATATGAACTTTAAGCAAGCAGTACATCATCCTTGTCTATTATCCATTGATCCAGACTTTTCACTCTTGGCTCACTTACAGTTCGCTTTGGCAAGAGCATCTTACCTTGTATTCTGAAAGAAACGGATAAGAGAAAATACAGTATTAGTTAACTGTTGCCATCGTTGTCACCTCTATTACATTATTACTGTACATAGACACTGAACACTGGATAACATGCATCAGGAGGGGAGGTAAATGAGGAGAAAACTAGAAGAACTGGGGATAAGCAGATTTAAAGCTGTACAATAGGCTTACCTCTGATCTGCCAATTAACTGCATTACTGCTGTCATACTGGTAATAATCTGCACTCGCACTCCCAGGCTGCCAGAACACAACAAGAGCAGTTCAGCAAACATGGGCTGAGAAGATGCATATCATCATGATAATGGAGGGAAAAGAAAGATCAACCAAAGTGGAGAGAAATCTTAAAATGTTGTGTCTCTAAAAAGTCTAATAATTTATCACACTGACTAATATAATAACAATATCTTGCCAGTTGTTAGTTCCTGTCTCAGTTGGCCTCAGGAAGTAAACTGATACAAATGAGTTTTAAGGGTTCAGTGGAAAATGAAAGAATTCGCCATAGCTTATGGTTTAGTGAATGACCATGCCTGTCTTCTTCTCTCTCTTTATCACAAACACACACACACACAAACACACACACACACACACACAACCAGTAATCATGATTGCTTACCCTATTTAATCCATTTCTGCCGTAGCCTGGCAACGAGGCCGATTTGGCAATGTATGAGTCTGGAAGAACAAATATGAACACATAAACATAAACAAACACACAAATTATGTAAACTAATGTAAACACACTCACTCTGTAAATCGGACTACAGCATTTCCAAAAATATAAAGCTCAGTACGACCAGCAGTGGTGGAGGAAATACACAGATCCCTTACTTAAGTAAAAGTAGCAGTGCAACCAGATGAGATACAGCAAAGTGCTGCAGGTCAGAATCGAACCTCAGGGCTACACACTTGCTCCTATAAACACCCACCTGACAGACTACTGATGAAGAATGTGGCTCAGATCACACAGATTGGTAAAATCAGATCATCTGTAGATGATTGAGATGCTGTTTCAACCTCCGCTTATTACACTGACACCCAAAATACCAATAAAATAAAATACAAACTGCTGTAAGATGCCACGTTCACAAGCCAATGGAGGAATGTGATATTATTGCACATTTTACTGATAAATATCGTCCTTTGTTATCACTCCTCCAAGCATGATCGCATCTATCTTGTAACCATTGGTAACCACCAGCATCCAAGCATCCATTGGCATGCCTTTATTTGTGATGTGCACTACTGTAGCTAAAGCAGCAGGGGGCAGCGAAGTCACACTGATTCTCTTGAGTCATTCTTCTGTCTCTGATGTCTTTCTCACTTCTACTTTCACTTGACTCTTCTTTACTATCTACGTTTCTTGGCTTTATCATTCATTCTCCCTCTGTCTTTTGCTCCCCCTCCCTGTATTCTGCTTTCATGCTCTGTCCACCTTCTCTTCTCTATCAGTGTTTCTCTCTGTCTTGTTCACTCTGGTGTTAAAGGGAATTACAGTGCAATGTCAAAGAGCTGTGACGAAACACCATGATGCAGTAGAATAGAGGCCGGAGTCTAAAGCTATTGTACAGTGTGTGTGAGACGTTGAACTATGAGGGGTTTATCATCTGCATATCTCAATCTCTCAACAAGAAATGAGATACAGCCTGACACATTAGTCTTTTATGTGTCTCAGAAATATAGTTGTTTCATCTAAGTGTGCCCTGATGCCAAACAATATGAAAACTACTAGCCTAAGCACCTCATGTATCAATGTATTTATAGTACAACTGCTGGTCTATAATCACTGCTGGCGTATCTAAGCACAGTTAAGGGAGAAACTTTTCACAATTATGGATCAGTTATTCTATTCTAATGGCTTGATCGTGGCATTATATTGCAGTCTGTATACACAAGAATGCAATTTTATGACGTTCAAAAACAAATTTGGAGGCCAAGAGTTATTATTGGATAAAATCTATGCAGGAGCAATACAAGAGATAGAGAGATCACAAGAAAATCCATCCAGCATTGTAAGGACATGTGATCTCATAAAGGTGTAGTGTGTAACTGTAGGTTGGGAAACAGATGGCTGAGGGGCTCAGGGTCAGGGATCCTGGATCAGTGCTCCTGCTAAAGGAAAGCAGATAAATACAGGCCTAAACTACAGTGTCATTCATCTTCCCACCTGTAACCCAAAAGAAAAGAGGTGTGTCTATGTATGTATGTGTGTGTGTGTGTGTGTGTGTGTGTGTGTGTGGGTGGGTGATTGTGGGAGCTGATAACAATCTCCCACTTATAGTGCTCCCGCTGTCGCAGCAGAACCGACAGGATGAAGGAGATCAGAGGGAAGACGGCTCACTGTGTCGCCATATCCCTTGAGATGACCTCAGAGATCAAAACACACTGATGAACCACTCACCGCTGTCTGCACTGCAGACGGACCTGGGAGCTGAGGACAGAGAGAGCAAAAGGGGGAGGGAGACAGAAAGAAAGAAAGAAAGACACATAGGGCTTTATTAATCTCACCAGCTTTAGACCTTGGAAATACAACATCTCTTGCATTTTGTGTTTGGAGTCAACAACTCTGCAGTCCTAATAAATTACAATTCAATAACTTTGCTTCATTAAAAATGTTTCTAAGCAGAATCTAAGCAAGTTCCCAACAATATGGGGCCACAGTAAGACTCTATATTTCATATTCACTAAAGCTCCTACAATCTAATTAAAAGGGATCATTACATGATTAATAGGCAAAAGTAACTAACCAAACATCTAGCTCCACTAGCTGAGTAAACTGATAACTCCTGACTGATAAACTGTACAATGAACCCAAATAGTGAACACAATAACTGCAGAAAGTTTATGTAAGAGAGATTATTGCATTGAGTTTTTTATACAATTATCTGTCAGTATTATGTATTTTCTTTATTTTTTAACAGTCATACAAACATAATAAGCTTGTTTTTGACAAATCCAGTGTTTTCTTCATGCTTCGTCATTGTTCTGTTAGCTTAATTCTTTGCTAATGCAGCATGAGGCTGTTTATCAGAGAGTGAAGGCTCTGTGAATATAGCTTGTGTTCAGCTCTCCAAAGTTCAGATCTTAAAATAACAATCTAAACTTTAAAAAT